ATATAGACTCTCACATATGCAAATACATAAAGCACCCATTAACTTTAAAAATTGAGCAGTATGTAAAGCTTTGTTCAATATGTCGTCCAATTGTTTACCGTTGTTATATGTTTAAGATTTATAATTATATCTTTTACAAATTCTCTAATGAAATGATGACGAATGTCAATGTGTTTGTTCTACTATATTTAATATGATTCTTTGAAATATTTATAACACTCAAGTTATCGTAGATAATATCATGACATCTTATTCGACATTGTACTTCTTCAACATTTGTTTCATCCAAAGAAGTAGGGTGCAACTGCTCTCAGCATCAATATATTTAGTCTCTGCAGTAAATAATGAGACATAATTTTGCTTCTTTCTGAACCAAGAGATTAAATTAATGATAAGAAAGAATCATCCACCAGATATACTCTTTTTATCATCAGCACTTTCAGTTCAATCATCATCACAATACCATACGAGAATTGAATTGATATCGTGAGAATACAAAATACTATAGTCCCAACTCGCATTTATGTACTTGATGATTCTCTTCACTTAAGTGAGATGGATAGCATTGGATTTAGCTTGGTATCTAGAACACACACCAATAACAAAGTGATGTCTGGTCTGCTTGATGTGAAGTATATCAGATTTCATATCATACTTTTATAGAGACTTTGGTGTATATCAACTCCATTTTAATCTTTTGATAATTTCACATGAGTTATATCTAGAGTTCTTTTATGACTAGCCTTGTCAAGACCAAATTTATTCACCATGCTCTTTGCATACTTGCTTTGAGATACAAAGATGTTTTCTTTCATTTACTTTACTTGGAGACCAAGAAAGTAGGTGAGTTCTCCTACAAGACTCATTTCAAATTCAAATTATTTGTTGAACAAAATGCTCCACCATCTTATTTAACATTCTATGAAAGACTATGTCATCGACATATATACGGGCTATCATGAGTTTCCCTATGTCATTATTCACAACTAGAGTTTTATATATTCCACATATATTGCATCCATTATTCCTTCCTCACCACTCAGAGCTCGTGGTATTCAATTGTGTTTATTATTTTTTTGAGCAAAGACGAGTATCCAAGCAACAAGATATATCGCAGACACCCAAATACTCGAGAAAAATGAAGGCATGCGCCTAACTCTTCATTTTTTATCCGACTTTATTAAGAAAAATATTTTGAAGCACTAGATTAAGTGGGAAAAGAAGACTTGGTGTTGACCAAGTATTTTGATTTGTGATTGTTGAAATTGATGGAAGAGTTTGAAAATGACTTGATGTTGATCAAGTGTTTGGTTCTATTTTGATTTGAAAAGTTTTTTAATCGATGGCTAATTTTATTCGGGGGGTGAATGAATACTAAAGCGATTGATTTTATTTGGTTAGGGAAAAAAATGCTCTTGATGTTGATCAAAATTTTTGATTCAAAAGAGGTCTAAGTTTGTTTTTGGAAAGTCTTTGACGTCGATCAAGGGTTTTAAGTTAGAAAAATATTGATTTTAATTTTGTCCAATTAATTAAAATATTTAAATTAACTAAATAACTGAAAATGAAAAGCAAGAGAAGAATAAAAATAAAGAACAACAATTAGGGAATGGGGTACATTTCAACATGGAGATAAATAACTAAAATAAAATAAAAAAATTAAAAGAAAAAAATGTGTAGAGGACACCAAAAACACAGGGGAATATGCAAAAAACAATTGGGGTTTGGCCCATCACAAAATAAAAGAAATAAAAATAAGAGAATTTCTCTTTGCACCCTTATGGAGTGGGGCACTCCTCTGAAAATCCCAAAATACTTTCGGGTTTATTCAGAGATACATCTCCGAACGCACTAAATTCTATTTTTTGTAAAAATTTACTTCACAGATACATCTCCGGATTTTTTGGAGGTTAATTCGGAAATGTATCTCAGAAAAAATAATGAAAAAATAATAATCTTGAAAAAATGAAGAGAACACAACAACACTTTTTTTCTTCATCTTCATCAGAGGATAACCATTCTATAACTAAGAAAATGAAGTGGTGGTCTTAAAATCAATCTATTAGTCGTTGTTTTATTTCAATGGTATTGTTAACTTCTCTACCAACAACGAGCATTTGTGTATCAAAAAGGGGGATACAATTTCTCCGGAATTTGATTTAAATTTGATTTGTTTTATGATGCCAATTCCTTTTGATAAGATTTAAAGATTGTATGGTATGAGCACTAAGGAGTTTGATTTATGGGTTTGAAAGATTAAGATGGAACAAGTCATCAAGTTTGAGGGAATTGGATGCCCATTAAGCATGAGTTTTTTTGGTCCAAGTGTATTTTCGGAGATACATCTCTGAATTAACCTCCAAAAAATTAGGAGATGTATCTTTGAAGTAAATTTTTACAAAAATTGAAATTTGGTGAGTTCGCAGATATATTTTCAAAAATATGGGGCATTTTTTACTTTTTGTCAGGGGCTTGAGAGAAGGTGACCGGGTGCAAAGAGAAATTCCCTAAAAACAAAAGCAAACAAAAATGCAGGGAGTGCAAGACTAAAATGAACCCAAAAGATCCATGAAGGGTTTAGGAAACCATAACTATCAACTAAACGAAATGAGGAGGCGGGTGAGGGGATAGCAACGGACATGTGGTGTCGTCAACCTGGACATGTGGTTGCATTCTGTCATGTATTCCGCCAATAACATTCAGCCTCCCAGCCACCACCCTTCCCACCTCGTCTAAATCTCGCACCACCTCAACCGCAAGCCAACATTCTTCATCCTAGAAAATCCAGCGGCCAATATCTCCTTGGTAGCGGTGTGCCACACCATGTGACGAACAACATTCATAATATGTCTCTACATAACCCTTATAGTGGTCCAGACGAGCTATTTATGGGTAGTGGTCAAGGTTTTCATATCTTCCATTTAAGAACTGTTAATTTTAAGTCCTTTGCACATTCATTTACTTTAGAAAATGTTCTTCGTGTCCTCAAATGAGAAAAAATATTATTTCATTTTCAAAATTAGCTTTTCAACAAAATTGTTCGATTACCTTCTTACCTACTTTCTTTGTTGTGAAGAGTCTAACAACAGGTCAAACAATTCTTGAAGGACCATATGTAGATGGAGCGTACGTATGGACATCATTTTCTCCCATCGTCAATTCCTCAAATCTCTCAAATTCCATCTCTTAGCATCACAAGCTAGGCTATCCATCTACCGTTACACTAAAGATCATTTATCAATCTCTAAGGCTCAACTCCTCAAAGTTTCAGCAATATGATTGCCTTGCCTCCCAGAAAAATAAGAGCCACAAGCTCCCTTTTCAGTCTTCAACTTTATGCTCGACTTATTTTCTTGAGGTTATTTTTTCCAATGTATGGACATCACTAGTTTTATCAAGTGATGGATACATATATTATGTGATTTTTATTGATCAGTTCACTATAAATGTATGGTTATATCCACTCAAACGAAAATTTGATGTTCAATCTACATTTGTTAAATTTCATGCCTTGGTGGAAAACTATTTCAAAAACAAAATAAAAATTTTCTATTAGGAAATTGAGAGCGAATTATTGGCTTTACAACCATTCTTTAGCGAAAAAGGCATAATTCATTTTACTTCACCACCTCATATACCAGAACACAATGAAATTTCTGAAAGAAAACACCACCACTTAGTTGAAACAGGTCTAGCCTTACTCACCCATTCGAGTATGTCAATAAAATTCTGGCCTCACGCCCTCTTAACAGCCGTATACCTCATAAATCAACTTCCTTCTCCCACCATAAACAATCAATCTCCATTTTTTAAAGTATTTAATAAATGTGTAGATTACTTTAAATTAAAAAAGTTTTAGATGTATGTGTTTTCCTTGGTTAAGGCCATACTCATCTCATAAATTGGAGTCTAGATCCATTGTTTGTATTTTTGTAGGTTACTCGATAAATCAGAATGTGTATTACTGTTTGGACCCACAAACCTACAAAATTTTCACATCCCTTCATGTTCGATTCGTCGAACATACATTTCCCTATAGAAATCAAAAACCATAGCCAAACCACTCCATCCATCATAGTTCGATCTCATCATCTCCAAGATTGGACTCACTCAACGTACATCAATCTTGCGGGGGTATATCTGAATTATAGTTCTTGTTTAGTCAATAAAGATAATTAGTAGTTATCTTAATTATTTCCATTATCCTAGTCATATGTTGTTATTGTTGTTGATTCAACATGGCTTATAGGAAGATGTTAGTGGGCCACTTACTTGGAGGTTCTGCCAGCAGAACTCTTCAAATGGTTATTTCAACCTGTATAAATACATAATCAATCTAATAACAATCTTTCTCTATGGGTTTGGAGTTAGATTTAAAGACATCCTCTCTTTTTCTAAAGAAAATTGGATGAGAAATCCTTTGTGTTGTATGAACTATTTTTTTTTATATTTGGGTTAAATACCTTTGTACTATTGATCAATACATCTTATAAAAAAAATATACATCATTTTCCATGTGTATGCCCGTGCATGCCCGTAAAAATATAAATGATTTGAAGTTGTGGAAAGAGAAGAAGTGGTTGAGGCATATAATTTTAGATGGAGAATCGCAAATAAATGATTTTATTTAAAGAGTTTAAAATAATTCAAGCCGACTTTTAAATTTGATAAACTCAATTGCTTCAAATTTGTGATTCAAATCATTAATCATTTATGCTCTATTGAATAGCATGGATATATCTGAATCCCGCAGGCCACTGCGGCAAAGGTTTGCAAAATCTCCAGATAAACTGACAGAGAATGTAAATTCAGGAAGAAACAAAACTGTAGAAACAATCCTCATTTTTCATTTTCATATCAACAACAACAACAAATAGATGCAAATAAGTTTCTTAGTTAAGTGGATAAGCAGGAGATTAAAAACAATGGGCATAAAAACATTGCAATTATGCACAGTAAACAGTGTCAGGAAATTTAGTGCAGCATAAAAGGAAGAAAGGTCATGTGAATGTCTTCAACTTGTCTGAACACTCGGCATGATCCGCTGGTGCTTTGAAGTTGTTGACTGATTTCCCCAACACGTTTAAAGCAGCAACTCGTTGTAATTCTTTAGCTGTGAGAAAAAAATGATCAGCTTCCTGTTGTCTCAAAATATATGCTGTTTGCTAAAAGTAAAACACAGTCAGTAGGTGTAAGAAGTGGTGAAGGATGCGGAGAATAGAAAAGATGTAATTTCCATAATGTATCATCCTGAGACGGGAAAGAAATGCTATGATAGTTGTGTTGGCCAATTGTGAAGCATGAAATATAGGGCGAAAACAGGGAGGTGGAATAAAGTGTATAAAGTATTGAGTTTGAGTAAATAGTTCTTATTGATAGTGAATAATGATAAGATTCGTAAGTGAGTGATTAGAAAGGAAAGATGGCATTACCTTCCTCAAGTGAAAGCTGGATTGATCTCTTCTCTAACTCAACAGCATGTCTGCTAAGTTCAACGGAAGAGAGAGATTGAAGCACTGGCAAAGGATGAACGAAAAATGAGGCAAATAAAAAAAGAGGAATTTAGAAGAAAGCATTCGAGAAATATACTTTGGATGTAGTCGGCTTGGTCAGATTGGTCCAATATCCTTAAAAAGGCCAGCAAGTGTTGATAACGCTCCTCCCAAAGCAGATATTTAAAAACCTTAGAAGGAATGGAAGGGTTTGTAGATGGCATAGGAAAAGGTGAAAATGGTGGGAAAGAAGAAAGCTTAGGGGCAATCTCCTCTTGACAATAAAGTGGACAAGAAGCATTAACAGTTGTAATTTTGGAGGTCTCTCCTTCTGATTTTCTACGGACATACACAAGATGTCCATTGAGTGAGGGTGCGCTGGAATCGGTAGCAACGGAGGTAACATGTCCATTCAGTGAGGGTGCGCTGGAATCGGTAGCGACGGAGGTAAGATGTCCATTCAGTGAGGGTGCGCTGGAATCGGTTGGGAGCATACTTATGTTATCATTATTGCCATCATCATTCAGCAAATCCATCTCCACCTGTCCCAAACAACAAGATATTAGAGAAAACATTTGGGTATTCGGAAGAGAAAGCATAATGGTTCCATCCCTTTCCGAAAAACAAGACAGAGGATACGGAAACCCTAGGCTTAATTAACCCCCAATAAAGTAGAATCAGAGTTTTGAATAAAAACAAACCTGAGAGGTGTCCTGAACATTACACACAACAAATTCGAATCACTGCTCTCACCTCCTCTCTTATATCAATCCCATTCATTTAACTTGCAACTTTTTCTTCTATAACACCAACCACTATTTTACTAACTTCTATTTTAAACCTAAACTACTCTTACTAACTATAATTTTTTTTTTTATTTATTTATCACTCTCCTTATTTTCTATCTTATTAATTAAACTTGTTAAATATCTTAAATTTAATTAAAAAAATATTGGATATATTTAAATATTATTTGAATAGATATCTCTTATTTTTTTAGTCATTTTTAAATTGAAAAATTCTTTTAATTAATTAAATAGTAACTCTTTTTTTTTTTTTAGCTATTTTGAACTTTGAAATACTTCGTACGTCTATTTATTTAAATATTTATATATGTCGAAATACAATAATCCACAAGAAACATTCACTATTAAATTGTTTCTCTTAGATTAAAAAGGTATATACATATTTATTTATTTTTTAATTTTTTTAAATTATATTTAAATCACATAAAATATTTTGGTTATTTATTTTAGTTGTCGAAAAATCAAACTTCTATAAAGAAGAAGAATATCAAACAATATAGAAAAACAGTTGAGTTGGGGGCCTCTTATATCATAGAAAAATTTATGCGCTAAAATAAATAATATTTTTGTAAATTTTTATTTGTATTTTTTTGATAATCTATAATATAAGAAAATTTATTCTATCTAAAAAATTTATTTTGTCCTTTTGTTCCAAAAACACAACACGTGGATAGCTTCTTTAGTTGGCTTCGACATGTGGCTTTCTTGCAAGACATAAAAAAATTTGCTTCAAATTCTTATTTTCTTTCCATTTTGTTCCATGAGTCATTAATTGACGGCAGTTACGGAACTCATCTTCTCATTTTCATTCTCTTTCCACTTCTCACTATTCCACTACCACTTCCGTCTTCAATTCAAAAACCACCCCTCTTACTACTCCATGATTGATCCCTTTCACAAACCGTTAAAGAAAGAAGATGAATCAATTTTATCAGCCAAAGCCGAAAAGCTTTGTGCACTTCAATCTCAGTTCTTCGCCAATCACCACGATCGCATGTATGTTGCTGATTCTTTCTTCTCTTTCGTTTTCCTTTTGTTTGATTTGGATAAATCTTGTTGCATATATACACAAGAAGCGTTAGATTTGAGCGCAAAGCTTCTTGAAATTAATCCAGAATGCTACACCGCTAGGAATTACAGAAAACTCGTTGTTCAACATCATAATCTGTCTCGATTTGATCCATATCATGTCGCATTTCTCTTCCATGGGGAGCTTAAATTGGTGAGAGTTACTTTTATTTTCAACTGATTGAATTGAATAATGTTGATGTAGGTTTTTTCTTTTAAGTTGAAAAATTATTGTAAGAAACTCATATGTTTGCATTCATCATTTTTTGGCTGCTACGTTATTGCTTATTGTGTTTATTTTCATGTTTTGGTGTATACTAAAGTAATGATGACTCATGATGAGGAAACAAACATGTTTTTCAAACACTCTTCTGTCATGTGTGTTCTGGAGCCTCGCTATGCTAGGAGTAAGATGAACTTCATTAAACAACAGACAAGTATTGGTTGGTAAATATTTGTAGGTCGTCGTGTAATTTTCATTTTGTTGTTTCATTAAGTTCATACATAACTAATGTATATTGTTAGTGGAGTCAAATGTGAAATACCTTGTGCTTTGTGGTTTTAGCTCTAAATTGTGGGTACATTTTTTTGTTGATTCAAAATGAAGTTAAAAATATTTTTGTGTTGATTTGGTTAAATGGTTTTAGGTCTTTTGAAACAAACACTGTAGTAAAGTTGCTTGTGATATGGTGTTATGCAGATTGTTAGAATTGTCTTCACACACCACCAAAAATGTGTTATTGTGAACACACAGGATTATGGTAATAATAGAAGGGCATCCTATTTTATAGAAGGTCTTGATTTGTGTGATGGTCTCCATGACACACTTGAGCCTCGACTTTTTCATGATCTCGATACTGTATTTTCCAGTGATTTCCACAATCCTACATTTTCTGTAAGTTGTCATTCCAATTGGACAAATCAACATTGCATTTATTTCTTTTTATTTTGTTGGCAATCCTGCATTTCTTTTTCCGGTGATCTCGATACTGTATTTTCTAGTGTTACATTTATTCCTTTTTATTTTAATCTATGAACATGAAATTTTGGTTTCAGTCAGTCTCATTTTTCCCAGCTGGCGGAATTAAAAAGACGATTGGAAGCTATGAATCCAAAATAGCAATGGGAGCTTATCAAAAGTGTAAGTTGAAATATCAATGGGAGCATATCAGTCCTATCATTTAGCTAACATGCAGTCTGCAAGGGGTTAGATTCGTGGTTTTCGCATGTCGTTATGGGATCAACACATTGTCTTGCTTCAAGAATCCTTCCTTCACTCAGATAGTGAAAAATGCATTAGGAAGGTGAACCAGATTCATGGTTTCAATTTTACTATTTAAGTTTTATAGTTTTTTAATGTTTGGTGATTGGCTACCATGTTTGGTTTCCTTTCAGGAAATATATTTGAGGATAGGATAAAGCATATTGTAATACAGTGGGAGAACTGACTTTGGGTGTTTTGCATTTTATCGCAATTGTTGCGGATAGCAAGAGTCGCCACCGATTTTTCTTTTATCCAATAAAGGAAAGGGTGAAAAGAACAGGAAAGACCTTTTGAGATATTTTCTTGAGTTCGGGGGGTAGGTTATGAAAAGGGAAGGTGTTAGCACCCTTTTCATCCGTAGTTTTCTACGGGCTCTTAGTTGCTTGATCACTTTGAAATGCTTTGTTTGAAATGTGTTTGTGGTTGCTTTTGAAAGTATTTTTGAAAAGTGTCTTTCTTTAGGCGAACTTTGTAATGATTCTCGTCTCTATAAGAATGCATACAAAGTGTTAACTTTTGAAAATATTTCATTTGAAAGTGTTGGTGTGTTTGAAATGATGTTGTTTTGAAAATGGTTGTGAGCAAGCAACTACGAGAGTTCTACCTACTCAAAAAGTATTAGTTCTTTTCCTCCTCCCTTAGATATTGATATATTACCATTGATTTGATAAGAAGCCCTATCATTAGATGTGAAGGGACGGGCGTGGGTCGTCGTATAGTTATAGAAGCCAACATTGTAGGATATTGTAGAAATTTGTCGTAAGGGTCTAAGATCATTTACCGAAGGCAACATCAAATGGTCATCGAGGGACTACGATCTTATATTCGAGGGTCTTTGCTAAAGTATCCCACATTCGAGGGACACGACTATTTTTCTCAAGGCAACAAGTGAGGTTAACCCTAGAGGTGTAAGTGTGCAAAGTGTTTGTTTTTCATGCTTTGTTTATCTTGAATTAGGGTTTTCTATTGTTTGATTTTATGTCTTGCCATACAAACCATAATTACTAGCATTTATATTTGAAAGTGATAAATTGCGAAAATGTAAAGTTCCTACGCTATTACAATACTTTTAGGGGATCGGGGTACAAGTTTAATGAATGGGATGAAAGTGATAAAGCCCCAATTACTATTACAAACCATTAATGGTCTAAAAACATCAACAACAAGTCTCAAAAATCAAGAATTCTGGTGCCTGGATGACACGAGTCGTGTCCTGTGACACAGGCACCCGTGTCAGGACCCTGTAATTATCCCTGCATGGTTTTTCTGTCCCATACAAGCTGACACAGGATGTGTCCTGTGACACGGGCACCCGTGTCAGGACCCTGTCTTGCCATTTCGTCTAGTTTCAAGCCTAGTAAGAGGGACACGAGTCGTGTCCTGTGACACGGGCACCCGTGTCAGAACCCTGTCTTGCCATTTTTTCTGTTTTCTTCCTGACACGGCCTGTGTCAGGTGACACGACCGACCGTGTTAAACTTCCAGAAGCATTTTTCTGTAGTTTTGAGTGTTTGCAACCCTTATACTTTGATTTTTCCTATTTTATTCTTTTGAAAACGAAAGTAAAATGATGTATGAACAAGAATATCATAGTTTGAGAAAAACTTACCTCTTGAAGTAAAAATACCGAATGTGTATGGATGTTTCCAGGTGCAATATGATGATTGATTGAGCTTCCTTATACCTCCTTGAAGTTGTTTCAATCCTTACTTTATGCTGAAAGTGTTTGGGTCTCTCCAACCAAGTCAACTTGCAAGACAATGTTTTTGAGTTTGGGTGGTGATGATAATGATGTTACAAAAGTTGTCCTCATGTTTGAACAATTTCTATATGATGTATATGAAGTATGTGTATGGTTTGTTTGGACAAAAATGCAAGGTTTGAGAGATTTGAAGATTTTGGTTTCTAAGCTCAAGTGGAGGTTTTGTGGACAATTATGGTTTTTTAAGAGTATGAGGGGTTTTGATAAAACTTGTCTACACAACCAAAAACTTCTCCCCTTGGCTTGAAAATGGCCTCTCTATTTATAGAGGAGGTTTGAGAGAATGAGAGAGTTTGTTTTACAAATTGTCAAAATTATGGTTTAGTTGGAATGAAACAACCAAGTTATGTGAAAATTGGTGTTCCAATGTACGGTACAAGCATGGTCTGAAGTTTATAGAGGCTTTTAGACATGTTGCTTCTTGCTTTGACATTGTGTATGTGCAGAGAAAACAATTGAGAGGCTCAAGGAGTTGACAATTTCATAAAGCTTGCTTTTTGTGAATGGCAATGGTGCCTTTGTGCTATAAATGGAATGATACAATGGACAATACTTGAATCACTTGGATAATGGTTCAATCAATTGTGTAAATAT